AATACAACCCTGTCACACACCTTTCTTAATTTTAAACCATTCAGTGTTCCCATGTTCTGTTCAAACTGCCTCTTGGTCCATGTACCAATTCCTCATGGGCACAATTAAGTAAGTGTTCCAAAATATTCTTACTTCACAATGTTGTCCATAGCTTGTCATGATCCACACAATCGAAAGCCTTTGCATAGTCAGTATAGCACAGGTAAACATCTTTCTGATATTCTCTGTTTTCAGCCAAGATCCATCGCACATCAGCAATGATATCCATCGTTACATGGCCTCTTCTGAATCCAGCTTGAAGCTTGCAGGCTTGCAGCCATTTCTGTATTACCGTTAGTAAAACTTTACTCGCATGGGATATCAATGTCTGATGATTTCTACATTCCATTGGGTCATGTCTCTTTGGAATGGGCACAAATACGGATCTCTTCCAATCCGTCAGTCAGATAGTTGTCTTCCAAATTTTTCTTGGCAGAGATGAGTGAGTGCCTCCTGTGCCACCTCACTTTCTTAAAAGATTTCAATTTTTATTGTACCAATTCCTGATGTCTTGTTCTTTGCCAATTCCTTCAATGAACCTTGGACTTCCTCCTTCAGTATCATTGGCTCTTGATCATATGCTACCTCTTGAAAACAGTTGAACATCAACCATTTCCTTTTGATACAGTGACTCTGTGTAATCCTTCCATCTTCTCTTGATGCTTTCTGCATCATTCAATAATTTGCCTAGAGGATCCTTCAATAATGAAAGTTGAGGCTTGAATTTTTTTTTCAGTTCTCTTAGCTTGAAAAATGCTGAGCATGTTCTTCCCTTTTGGTTTTCTGACTCCAGATCTTTGCACATTTTGTTATAATATTTGACTTTGTCTTCTCGAGCTGACCTTTGAAATTTTCTGTTCAGCTTTTGTACCTCCTCATTTCTTCCATTTGCTTTAGCATCTCTACACTGGAGAGCAAGTTTCAGTGTCTCTTCAGACACCATTTTGATCTTTTCCTTCTTTCTTGTCTTGTTAATGACTTTTTGCTTTCTTCCTGTATGATGTTCTTGATGTCATGCCACAACTCTTCTGGTCTTTGGTCTTTAGTGTTTAATGTATTAAATCTGTTCTTCAGATGATGTCTAAATTCAGGTGGGATATATTCAAGGTCATATTTTGGCTTTCGTGGACCTGTTTTCATTTTCTTCAGCTTCAGTTTGAATTTGCATATGAGCAATTGATGGTCTGTTCCACAATCTGCCCCTGGCGTTGTTTTGACTGATGTTATGGAGCTTTTCCATTGTCTCTTTCCACACACAGATGTAGTCAATTTGATTTCTATGTATTCCGTATGGCAAGGTCCATGTGTATAGTTGTATCTTATGCTGTCTAGAGAAGGTATTTGAAATTAACAAATCATTGATTTTGCAGAATTCTGTCATGCAATCTCCATCATCATTTCTATCACCAAGGCCATATTTTTCAATTACTGATCCTTCCTCTTTGTTCCCAACCTTTACATTCCAATCACCAGTAATGATCAATAGATCTTGATTGCTTGTTTGATCAATTTCAGACTGAAGAAGCTGGTAGAATTCTGCTATTTCATCCTCACTGGCTTTAGCAGTTGATGTGTAAATTTGAATAATAGTGATATTTATTAACTGGTCTTCCCTATACGCACATGGATATTATCCTATCACAGGCAGCGTTGTACCTCATGACTCATCTAAATATGTTCTTTTTGACAATGAATGCAACACCATTCCTCTTCATTTTGTCATTCCCGGCATAGTAAACCACGTGGTCGTCAGATTCAAAATGGCCAATTCCAGTCCATTTCAGCTCACTAATGTCTAAGATACCGATGTTTATGCATTCCTTTTCATTTTTGACAATTTCTAATTTTCCTAGATTCATACTTTGTATATTCCATGTTCCGATTATTAATGGATGTTTACAGCTGTTTCTCTTCATTTTGAGTTGTGCCCCATCAGCAAATGAAGATCCCATGGGCTTTACTCCATTCGCATTATTACGGTCAACTCTACTTTGAGGAGGCAGCTCTTCTCCAGTCGCATTTTGAGTGCCTTCCAACCTGAGGGGCTCATTTTCCGGCAGTATGTCTGACAGTGTTTCTCTGCTGTTCATAAGGTTTTCAGTAACTAAATATTAAGAAGCAGTCTGTCACTCCTTCCTCATCTGTCTTCGTCTGGAAGCTCATATGAAATCTGTGGGTGACCCTGCTGGTATTTAAAATACCAGTGGCATAGCTTCCAGAATCACAGCAACTCACAAGCCACAGTAAGACAAACTGACAGATGCCTGGTGGCTTTCAAGGTTGTAAATCTTTGCAGGAGCAGTAAGCCTCATCCATCTCCCATGGAGTGGCAGGTGGGCTCTAACTGCCCATTTGTGGGTTTGCAGACCAGTGATTATCTTACAAAATCACCAAGTTCCCCACTGTACCACTATGAGCCCTTCATATTTAACAAGGGCCCTTCGTGTTCTTTTTGCACTAGACACACAAATTATGTAGGCAGTCCTGGCCCAGGACCAGGAATGGTGGCTCTGCTACTGAGGGGGAGAGAAGAGGATAGATGACAGTCTGTAGGAACTTGGTTGGTAGTGGGAAACAGGGTTAATGCCATCTAACAGTAGAAAGAAAAGTCATCTGCTGAGAACAAGCAAGAATACAAAATGATGTGTTGTTGGTGGTGGTGTTGTTGTTTAATGCCATCAAGTTAGGTCCAACTCATAGTGCCCCTGTATCAGATTTCCAAGAAGCAGCTGGTGCATTTGAGCCATCGACCTTTCAGTTCAAACCAACCTTGTAATCCAGGGTTTAGTAGGATGGAGAAATCTGGTAGACTCCATTTTAACTAGTAATCAAGATTAACTTTACCTGGAAGAAGACAAATTAGTATCAGGTACCTCCTGATATGATGCCCTATAAAGGGCACATCACTTTTGTGTTATTCTTGTCCAGATGGAAAACCACAACGTGATCACAGAAAACCCGAATAGAGGAGTATTTGATACAATAACTAAGCAGTACTAGCACAAAGTGTCAACAAGAAAAGACTGGAAAAAAAAGCTATAGATTGGAGAAGACTAAGGAGAAATCACAATTAAATGAAATGTGGCATCTGGATTAAATCCTGGAATTAAAAAAGGACATTATTGGAAAAACATTAGTGAAATATAAATAAGGCTTGTGGTTTAGTTAATAATATGCCAATATTACTTGCAGTATTTTGATCCTTGTACTATGGTTATATGGAGTCCTGGTGTGGCGCTGTGGGTTAATAGCCAAACTGCAAAGCCGTTTGAACTGCAAGGTCGGTGGTTCAAGCTCACCAGGTGCTCCTCAGAAACCATATACAGGATCGCTATGGGTCAAAATTGACTCGACGGCACTTAACAACAACAATATGGTTATATTAGATGTTAAAATTAGGGGACGATGAGTAAAGTGTTTATGGAAACTCTGTTTTCTTCAACTTTTATACAGTTCTCAAACTACTTCAAAATAAAGTTAAACTTTTCTTGTAGATTATTCGCACTCGTAATTATTTTTAATGTTAGCAATAACTCAAGACCCTCAACTAAAACCTTTGAGACTTAGTACTACCGAACCTGCTTTGGTATCAGTCAGAGAAGCAATAACAAAAAGAAATGCTGCATTCACCTTATTAAAAAACATGGCTTTTAAAAAGAGCTAAAGCGAATCAAGAGAAACACTGCTAACTGATGGTACATGGAGGGGATGATAATCATTGTAATGAAACAAGATGTAAGATTTGTTGAATGTAACACTGATGATCTGCCCTGTAACGTTTCATTCAATCCCCAATAAAAACCTTTAAAAAAAAAATGGCTTTGAATAAGTCATGGAGTTTCAGGTTCATGAATTATTTTCCCCACAGCTATTCCATCATTCCACTCACAGCATCCTAGTAAGGAAAGCAGAGAAGTTGGGAAGAACAGAAACATCCCTTCAGTTTCATTCTTCTGTCTCTCTGTCTCCAAAGTTATTAAGTGGAAGCATTAATTGAAGTCTTTAAAAGGCTGCTAAACATTTATGAGAACCACAAAGTTTTCCAGGACTATTACAGATTTCCTTTCTTTGTTGTAATTAATTTTTCCTAAAAGCCTAGAGTTGGCAGCAAATTCAGATCAGACGTTGCGTTAAAGAAATGACGGTTTACAAAGAATCTCAGGTGGCATATACCCCCATACTTGGAACAAAACCTACTGCCGGTAACCAGCTCCAAACGCTGCCCAGTCATTGCAGGGAGGAGTTGTTTGTGCTGCTACTCTGCTGCCACCCAGTGGCACATGGAAGCATGGCACCTTGTCATGGAAACAGGAGTCCAGAGTAGGATCTAAGAAGGATATTTTCTCTTCTACAACAGGATAACTGGAATTTAAAGGCAGTCAACAGCAAGGAAAAAGGGCTGCACCTGCCCACGACTGCACTGTAACTAGATGCATGGACATGGGAAAGGATGTATTAAAATAAACACTAGGCTGTAGCAATGACCACCACCAGTCTTAACAGTTTGTCAGACTCGGGTGACTTGATTAGGGTTGCTATGATGCTGAAAATTATGCCACTAGCATTTCAAATACCAGCAGGAGGTTTTAGGGGAACTTCTAGACTAAGACATACTCAGAAAAAAACCCTGAAATGTAGCCAGTGAAAACCCTATGGATCCTAACAGAATTCTGTCCAATATAGTACTAGACGATGAACCCCCTGGGTTATCAAGCACTCAAAATACACAGTGGCCACAACAATGTACTCAAATATACCAACGAAAGTAAAGACGGAGCAGGACCACGAAACAGTTTGTTCTCTTTAACATGGAGTCACCATTACTTGCAGCTCACTGTACAACTAGCAACTATGGTGATACAGTCTTTTTTTGTACCTTATACTGAAGACTGCTCTAGAGATTACATGAAAGGACCCAGGAGATGAACCACAGGACCTGATTCTGGCCTCACTGGATTTACCTGCTTTGGGTCAGAAGTGGTGGCACCAGCAGCTGGAGATTCCAGTTCTATGGTCACAGGCCCATCGTTCTGAATGTGAACTTGCATATAGGCACCAAACTTGCCATCTGAAAGAACAATTTAAACCGTCACAAGAGATGGAGACGCCAGATTACACTGTCTAATAAGTACACTTATATCAGGATAATCAGAAACTTGGGGAGTAGTACTAAACAGTCAACATAAGAGAAGATGGCCAATCCCACAAGCAATGAGGGAAATGTAAAATTAAACAGCAGAGACACTGATGTATACCCAACAGACTTAGCCAGAACTACAAGGTCTGATAACACAAGTGTTAGAAAAAATACAGGCTAACAAAAATGCAAAATGATAGAAAATTAAATTGGTATATTATCTTAGATGGCATTCTCGTGTTACAACAGTAAAGTTCAAGTTAACTACACATAGACAACTTGGGGAGCCCACCCTTGAAACTTTTGTACATGTAAATAAGGAAAAATGTTCAAGAGTGTTTATAAAAGGAAAAAGTAGCAGCACTGAGAGTCCCTCAGTGGAGGAAGGCATGCACAGACACTATCTAACTTATGCAACAAAATACTACACCACAGCCAATGTATTAGTGCCACATCCACCAAAATGACTAAATCACAAACTTGTAATCTTACCTTTAAAAAGTAGCAACAACACATACATATCCAGTGTAATATCATCTATATAATATGTTTGAAAACCTAAAACACTTACGGGTATGTTTGTGTATCTCATTGTCAAAAACCAAAAAACTTTTTAAACATGGGGAGCAACACTTCACCAAAGAAGCAGCCAACCAACATATGTGAAAATGTTCACAATCATTAGCCATTATTGTTGTTGTTAAGTGCCATCGAGTCGGTTCCGACCCATAGCGACCCTGTACAGGGTTTCCGAGGGTGTAAATCTTTACGGGAGTAGAAAGCCTCATCTTTCTCCCGCGGAGCGGCTGGTAGTTTCGAACCGCTGACCTTAAGGTTCGCAGCCCGATTCGTAACCACTACGCTACCATTAGCCATTGTTGTTGTTGTTGTTGTTAAGTGCCGTCAAGTCGGTTCCAACTCATAGTAACCCTGTACAGGGTTTCCGAGGGTGTAAATCCTTATGGGAGTAGAAAGCCTCATCTTTCTCCCGCGGAGCGGCTGGTAGTTTCGAACCGCTGACCTTAAGGTTCGCAGCCCGATTCGTAACCACTATGCTACCATTAGCCATTAGAGAGATATAAATCAAAACAATAACGAAATAGCATCTCACCCCAGCATTAACAGCACAGTCAAAAAAAAAAAAAACCCTAGAAAACGCAAATGCTGGCAAGGGTATGAAGAGACTGGGACTCTGCTGGAGGGACTGCAAAATGATGCAACCTGCAACTACTATGGAAAACAGTAAGCTGCTTCCTAAAAAAATTGGAAACAGAAATACTGTACAACCAGCAACCCCTCTAGCTGGTACATATCCACAAGAAATAAGAGCCAGGACACAAGCAGATATATACACATAAGAGTTCATGCGATCACTATTCACAACAGCAAAGATATGGAGACAGTCTAAATGCCTACCAATGGAAGAATGGATAAACCAACCTTGGTACATACATACAACGCTGAAGAATAATGATAAATCTGTGAAATACCTCATAACATGGATGAACCCAGAGAACATTAAGCTAAATGAAAATAGTCCATCATAAAAAGACAAATATTGTAGGACACCTCTATTCTAAAAATGCAAGAAAAGGTTTTCATGTTGCAATAAACATTCTTTGATGGTTACTAGTGGTAAGTAGGCTGATTAAATCACAAGCTAAAGGGTAGATCCATATTAGCTTGGTTGATGGGGAGGGCAATATACAAGAAGAGGGAGGTTGGCAGAAGACAGGTGAAAACACAAGGAAGTATACAAGGGTTAAAGGAAATAGAGGTAAATAGTGTTACATACACAATCTTAGAACAACAGTGTTCTGAGGCGAGACACATGACAGATACAGAGGGAGCGTGGGAATATATCCACAGATATATAAAGGTTTTCAAGATGGTACTTGCACATGGGTATTTACCTTTGCTACAAACACACCTATGAGTGTGGTGGAGCATTTGTTGTTGTTGTTAAGTGCCACTGAGTCAGTTCTGACTTATACCAACCTTGTATAGGATTTCCAAGGAATTGCTGTTGAGTTTGAACCTTGCAGTTCAAGCTGACCTTGAAGTTGAGCGCTTATCCTATGACACCACACACAGGGGACAAGTGATGGAAACTTCTCAGATATCCTACATACTCCTTTGGTGAGGAGCGACTGCTGGGACTTTAAAATCTCATGAGCCGCCATCAAAAGTGCAACTGTTGGTCTCTCCATGTGTGGAAGCAGAATGATGATACTTGAAGAAGCTTGGAATCAGTGGACCAATGGAGCCAGTGAACATCAATCACTAACTCTGAGACCAAAAGAACTACATGATGCCTGGTTATCATTACCAACTGCTCCAAAATGGATCACATTAGAAGGTCCCATATAGAGCAAATGAAAATATGGAACAAAACTCAAAATTATTTTTAAAAAACCACCAGGCTAACTGGCCAGATTTGGAGGAACCTAAGACTATGGCCCTCAATCACCCCTCAGCTCTGGAAAGAAACTCACCCTCATGGCTCAATCTTCAGTCAGCAGCAGATAGGGATACAGTGGGGACAATGACACTAATAAGGTATGCTCACCGTGGAATGGTCAATCACTCAAAATCAAAAGGGCAACATTTACCTAAGGAGAAAGTTGAGAAGGGATGGGAGGGTGGGTGGAATGGTAATCAGAACCACAGGGAGGAAATGGAGTAACGTTGTTACATGGAGGGAACTGCAATCACTGAGATGAAACGAAGTGTACACTTTGTTGCATGTAAAACCAATGATCTTCTCTGTAAACCTTCTCTCAATTCACAATGAAAACTTAAAAAAAAAAACAGGTTTACCTAAGCACAAAGTTGAAAGGAGGGGATTGAAAATCATTGAGATGAAATAAAGTTGTATGATCTGTTGAATGCAAAACTGATGATCTTCTTTCTCTGTAAGCCTTTCAGTGTCTCACTATGTCTATGAGAAAGAGCTCCAAATCTGTTTTGACACCCAACCCACGACTTTGTTTCTGATCAAGTCCCAAAAACTGAATTACATTTAAAAAGAATGCCAAAAATATGCTTGGAGAGAGAATGCGGTAAAATAATCAGAATTCTGTTAAACACTGGTTCTAAACATACTAATGGCACTTACTGATATAATGAACACACTGTTCCTGACAATTAGAGTGGGTTACTTTTACACCACATTTGATAAAATAATTTGTATAATCCAAAATTAATAGAGGACTCTCTGTCCCCACCTACTACTAAGGAACACAGAAGCCATATGAAATACAGTACTTATCTGGAAATCACTCACCGTGTCTCACTCATAATTGGCAACTATGTGTCAAGTGCTGTACTAGATACCAAAGACCAGCTCTAAGGCCCAGACAGCCCTGACTGGCTATCAGGAACTCAGTCTAGTGTAGGGTAACATCATGGTGATAGGGCAGCATGGTGAGAGCCATTCCACAAACTGGCCCTGGAAGCCAAAGGAGGGTTGCATCCCTAGTCTGGGGAATGGGGAAGGATCAGAAAAAGCTTCCTGAATGAAGCTACCCACAGTTTGTATCTAAAAATGCAACCAAGAATCAGGCTACAAGAGAAGAGGCACACTCACCTACTAGCTATGTGGCCTGGGGCAAGTTTCTTAACCTCTCAGTGCCTCAGTTTCTCTATCAGTAAGCCAGGCACTAATAATAAAACCTAAATCATGGTGAAAAATAAGGCAGTACATGTCAAGTGCTTGGGATAGTGGCTAGCCTATGGTGGTGCCAGGAGTGCCTTCAATACTTTTGGAGACCATGCTTGTTTTAACTCTCCCTTGCAGAAACATGATGTTCAGCAGCATGCTATGGTTCTCAGGACATCCTTGAGTATAGAAGTCTGTTTTGCTTCTTTTACTTGGGTGTCTCCCAAACTTCCCCGACCAGGAGACCTTGTTTCACATGGAACAAACATGCTTACACCCTGAGGAAGGCCCTCTGGAAAAAGCTGAGAAGAAAACAGCATGGTGTAGGCCAACCAGACTCTAAGGAGGGCCAACTTTGAGATGACTTGGTTCTCAGATTAACGGGCTGACCAGGCCTCAAGCCTAGGTTTCCTTGGATACTAAACCCTCCACCACCTGAGGCCATTTAAAGGTGCCGCTGGCCCCCTGCCACTACAATTTCCACCTGAGGTCACTCCCTTCCAATGATCCTTAACCTCAGGGAGGATTACAGGAAAATGGGCACACCCACTACTGGTTTCCTTACACCACAGATAGTAGCACTAGAGACTATATGGAAAGTACCCAAGTTGTTCATCATTTTTACAGTCAAGATGTATAGTTCCTACTGGGTAACCAAGCATGCATACATAACAGTGACATTCTGGAACCTCCCAGAAGATGACAGTGGCTGTTCAAGTACACCAAGCTCTCCATTTTAACCATGTCAGACTAGCTAAAAAGACATCAGCTGGGAAGGAAATCATGTGTTTAACTGCATACTAAAATTACAGCTACAATTAGTAGCGGATTTCAGCCGCTGCACTCCTCGGGGAAGCTGAAGGAAGATTCAGGAGGAAAGGAATTCTTTGTGACCTTGAATTTCTGCTGCCAGGATATAAAACATATGTTTCACCATGTTTATCATTCCAAATAGCAAGAAATATATTTTCTTTTTCTGTTTATCCTCAGTTCAGAACAGAACTATTATGTGAATTTCCATTTGTACAGATAATAAATCCAAAGAAATATTTCAAGAAGTCTAAAATGGTAACATTTTTTCCAGTCCAGATCAAAGAGTAAAGCTCCTAAGAAAAATTATATTGGCTAGAAAAAATAAATACATTTTCGAAAATAGTTTTAAAAGATAAAAACATTCTACAAAACTACATCTGGGCTCCTACAATGACCCAATCAAGTTGTTCTTAAATGTAAGTTCCAGGATGAGATCCAGAGCTGAAGGAGGACCAGC